CCCCCCCCACCCCTGCCTCCCCCAAGAGCATAAAATTCCCGAAGATTCAAAGGCCCTGGAGACTCCCTGGTGAAAACCTCATCTCCAGAAATGAGGCTGTAAAAACGGCCTCTGTGCGGTCCTTCCTCCTCGTGGAAGTAAGCAAAATGCCTCCTGGACAAGTGTGCCTTTCCTTAAGGTGAGCTCTACTGTAATTGTGGGCCCTCAAATAACTACCAGCTCTCGGAGTCAGTGAGTCTTGGGGCTCCAGTCCTAGCTAGCAAATATAGGCATGAGTACTGGGAACCGAGTGGGAATCCAATACGCCCTCTGAGAGAAGTCCCAGAGCACTTCCAACGCACACAAACGGCTACTTGTTCTTTAGAAGTTACCTTTTCTCTTTACCTGAAGGCGGAAGACTTCTTTCACTCCCTGGGGTGTTAAGCATGCCATTGCCCCAGCATATGGTTGCTAGGAGACCTGGCCAGACTGATTCAGGGTTTCTGGAACCCTTGAGCAGGCATGCCAGCTTTATTAGGTCATGAAAGCCTGCTTCCTGATGCATGCCGCTTTCTGGGCTCTGTTCCCCAGCTTGTTCCCTCCTGTTTTCCTGGAGGAAGGCGCCCGCTTCTTTATGGGTGGGCTCGGGATCTCCCCCTCAAAGACCTTGAGTTTTTTCCTCTTATCTTCAACCTCTCCCTCACAACCTGTTCTCCTTCAGGAAATGAGTGTACTTAGTCTTTCCCATAAACACAGACAGATTTTTCCTCATCCTTTGCATCCTTTAAGACAAGACTTATTTCTCTCCTCCTTCCACAGCCAAGGAACGTCTCTATTAAAAGCTTTCCTAATTTACTGTCTCAACTTCCGCCCTGACTTCTTACCCTGTTAGGTTGGCTTCTACTTGTGGTCAGTGGCATCTCTGACTCCCTGTCTTCAGCATCAAGACTTGGGCTAAGGGTGCAGAGAACAGCTCTGTCGAGGTGTCCCAAGTACAATTCCCACACTGCCACGTGCTGGGGCTGGGGGGGCTCTGATCTCTCCTTCTGTTAGTCCCCTTTTCCTATATGTTCTGAAAGCACCTGGTGCCCACTGATTATATGAGGGAAACATCCTGCTTGCTCTTCCCCAACGCTTGTAAGTGCCGACTTAGATGCCCCAGAGCCTAAGGAAAACCCAGAGCTGCTGACTGATGCAATGAGCCCCGTGGTCTTGGTGCAATCTACACCTGGTACGGGTACACAACCTACCCTGGCTACCTGGGTTCTTTTTTAGGCGTGGCCAGGCGAATTCTGAACAAAACTGGTCCAGAGTAAGAGAACATAGCTCTCTCTTCCTCGAATGGGGCTGGATGGGAAGGATCCCAGTCTCCTTCCTCAGCAACCCAGAGTCACATTCCCACTCTGCCGAGGCCCTGCCCTGTCCACCTTGCTTATGCTCGTGCGGATCATCTCCCCTTCCAGGACAGACTTTGGCAGGACCACTTTATACACCTCAGCAGATTGTTGGGGAGAAAGGGGACGGGTGGGGGGGGGGTTCGGGGGGAAGGCTGGAGTTGTCTCAGTGCCTTCTGGCCCACAACTCTCTTCTGCTTCTTATACAAATCTACCTATTCCCTCCTCGGCCATCTTCATACTCTATCTTACAGAGGAAATGGACCAGCACTGTTACTCCTTTACAACATGCAGTTGCTAACACTTGGATCCTTTTCAATCCTTGTGCTACTCAACGGATGCTACTGTTGAACATTTGTTTACTTCTTGGCTTCTCCGAAGCCACACTCCCCTAAATGATCTATCTTTCTAAACATGTCTTCTCTGTCCCTAAATGTTAGTGGACTCCAGAGTTCTGTCCTTCCCCTCTTCTCTTCCTAAGGCACATATTTTTGGGTGATTTAATCCACTCACATTCCATTGGACAACAACAACAACAACAAAATTACTGCTATCAAGTCAATTCTGACTTATATTGACCCTATAGATCAGGGTAGAACTGCCTCTTTCCCCCCCTAATTTTTATTTATTTATTTAATCATTTTAATGGGGGCTCATCCAACTCACCACAATCCATACATCCATCCATTGTGTCAAGCACATTTGTACATTTGTTGCCATCATCATTCTCAAAACATTTGCTTTCTACTTGAGTCCTTGGTAT